GGGTAGGGGGCCGATGTGAGGAGGGGGGGGGGGCGAGAAAGCGGCGGGCCAAAACTCGTTCTTTTTGGGCGGCTCTTCCTTGGCGGACCTCGTTCTTTCGCAGCTGCAGTGTGGCGGAGAGGGCGGGAAGGGGGAGAGGGCGGGGATGGGAGAAAGTGAGGGCGGCGCCTGGTCCTTGGCCGCTTCATTGAGCGCGCCGAGCGCGAGGAGCTCGTCGCCCTTGACGTCCTCCGGCAGGTATTTGTTGACCAGCTGGCGGTGCAGCGTCTGCTGCAACAGAGGCACGTCCGGCTCCTGCCCGACGCTCACCTATTAAGAGATGGAGTATTACTGAATCTATTCCTTGGCAGAGGCACCCGCGGGTCCTGCCGACACTCACCCAGCATATCGTGTCAAACGCTTCGCGCACCGCGTCGTCGTTGACAAGCGCCACCGCCGCCGTCGTCTTTCCCACGCCTCCCATGCCCGCAGCCGCCGTCATGGAGCGCCGCGCCTCCTTGCTCGCCCTCGCGGGCGCCGTGATCGAGGTCGCCTGCTCTGTGCCGCCGCCGCTGCCGAGCACGCGCGCCTTGAGCGTCTCGACCAGCTCCGCCCGCTCCAACGTCTTCTCCGGCAGCGCCGGCACCTCCGGCGGAAGCGCGCGGAGGGAGGTGGTGTGCCGAGCGCTCCGCCTCTGCGAGAGCCCGCTACCGCCGACGATGCTGCGCCGCGCGCTGAGCCTCGAGCTGGTCCGGAAGGAAGACGAGGAAGACCCTCGGGCGAGCGTGTCGGCGAACGTGTCGGAGCCCAGCGAGTCACGCCTCGGGTGCGAGCGATGCTGTGCCGGGGTCCTGCTGCTCGCCTGGACTGCGCGGATCTCGGCGGCGAGGTTTCTGATGCCTTCGTCAAAGTCCTCGCCATCCGCGCTCAGGTCGATGTAGAGCTTGCCGCCGAGCTTACCGCCGACCGTGCCGGCCCAGTCGCCGGGACTGCGGCAGCTTCGCTCCATCACCACGGGGATCATCCTCGCGACGCCCTTGCGGCGGAGGGCGTAGTCAAACTCGAACTTACAGTTGTCATCATCGCCGCCCGCGCTCTTCCCCCACGCCTTCTGCAGGTAGCGCTTGGTGATGAAGCAGATGACACTGCCCGAGCCGTCTATACCCTCCACCATGCGCTGGTTGATGTCGCCTGGAACGGTCGCGGGAGAGTGTGAGGGACAGTGTGGGGGGGGGGGGGTAGGGGGGGGGGAGGGCGGGGAGACGGGGCGGGTGAGGACGGCGACACGGCGAGGGGGGAGATTGGGCGAATGGCGAGGGGAACCTTGCATCCGCTCCTCGTCGAACCAAGGTCGCAGCCCCTCAGCCTTCAGCCCGGCGCACACCAGGGCAACCCTCTCGTGATTCGACCTCCCGTCCTCGTCAATACCCCAATCGTGCGTCAGGAAGCAGTCGTAGGGCCAGGAGCGCACCTCACGCAACTCGATGTATTCCTGCTCTTTGGCTTCGCCGCCGGCCGCCTCGAGCTGGCGCCGTTGGTTCTCAGCCCGCTCTTGCCGCCGCCGAAACCACCAGAGCAGCATCAACCCATACCCGACCGCCGCCCCGATCGTCACGAGCTTCATCGGCGATGCGCAACGACACCAGGTGCGGATCCCAGGGCGACACAGGTCGGCCGACTTGCCGAGCTCTCGTCTTCGACGTTCCCCGGCGGGAACGAGGGAAGTCTTCTCACGCCCCGGCGGGAGAGTGATATTGGATGGGCACCCCGTGCCGCCGCGAGAAAAGGGCCTGTCTCTTCCCGCGATGTGTCGCGGACAAACCCAAGTAGAAGCGGGTTCGGGCGCGCGGGTTCCTCTTCGTTCATTTTCGGGCGAGGGTTGCACCACGCCGCGTGGGGCGAGGCCGAGGGGGCAAGTTTGAGAGAGATTTTTAGCAATACCAAACAACTCTAACACTCACACGTAATTTGGGTGACGAGAGAATCTTTTGTCCCGCTAGCCACGTATCCACGGGCGCTCCGGGCGACGATGAGCACAACGCTGCGTCGCTCTGGCCGCCGCCTCGCCGCTGCCGCCACCGCCACCGCCACCGACGCTCCTCCACCGCTGCTCGCCTGCCTCCTCCTCCTCGACCTCCCCACGGACCTCGTCGTGCGGGTCATCTCTTGCTTGGACAGCCCCTCGAGAAAGAAAGGATTGTGAAGGAGTGGAGAGAAGGGAGAGGAGTGGAGAGAAGGGAGAGGAGTGGTGAGGAGAAGAGGGAGAGGAAGGAAGAGGTGCGCGACGCCAGTGACTTAGCTCCTATTTACGTTCTCCTCCTACCAGATTTTTTGTGATTGGTAAGAGCATTGCTGGGCCTTCCGCTGCAGATTGAAATCCAGCGAGCGTGGCGTGGGAGCTAGACTATGCTCTCTCTGTCTGTCTCTCGTGTGAAAGCACCTGTCTGGGAGAGAGGCCATGTACATTTACGACGTAGGGGCCGTCTATTTCGAATTCATTTACACGCTCACCGGTGCGACACCCTCGCATGCTCTCTGCCCAGCTCCTCGCCCTGCAACCTCACGCGCTCCGGCCCGCGCTGACGCCGACTCGCCGTGGCTCTTCGTTTTGGTCGGAACCGTGGACCGAGCCACTCCTCTTCCAGTCGGCGTGGCGGATGACGCTCGACATTCAGAGCGGCGGCGCCCGCCTTGCGGTTCCGTTGGAGATCACATTCTCGGACGAGCCTGTCGCGAGTGGCGACTTTCGCTGGACCGTCGAGGAGCCAACTTGCTGCCCCGCGAGGCGGCTCCTCGCTTCAGCGGGCGCGTTTGTCGGCCCTAAAGGTGAGGTGAGCGTCGAGGCCCGGCCGGGCGGCTGGCTAGCCGAGCCGCCCGACCGCTGCGGCAGATCCGCGCTCCGCTTCTACATCGACTTTCCCGACGGGGCGCAGCGCAACGGCGCCGCCCTTCCTCCGGGCCGCGCCTTCTTTCGCGCTGCGTGCTGGGATGGCGCGCAGCTGCGCCAGTTCGAGGCAGAGGCCTCTGCCGTCCGGGCGGAGCTGGATGCGCTGGGTGCGGCAGCCGAGGCGTCCGCCTCCCTCGGGCTGTCCGCTGAGCGGGCGGAGGCGGCGGTGCCGAGCGAGCGGAGGCAGCTTCTCGAGTACCAGCTCGAGATTATCGAGCGATCGATGCCGGAGAAGAGGGGGGTGTTCCCAGGGGCCGGTGTGCCACTTTTTCCTTGAAATTTTCGGGCCCACTGGAAAACGGGGTTCCTTTAAGTGTTTTTGCAGGCCCGGGAGACCTCCAAATGCCGCCGGGAGGGGAGCTTAGCTTCAAGACGGAGGGGGTGGGAAATATGGGGGGCTTGATCGGCGGCAATTTTGACACCTTCGGGGGCTTTACCTTTGTTCCCATTCGCCCGCCGGGGGCCGAGGTGTTGTACCTTTGGGAGGAGCGCGTTTTTTTGGTGTGGGTAGCCCGTAAAATTTTTTTTGGGGGGGGGGGGGGGGGGGGAGGCAAGTCCCTCTGCCGAGACCACCCAGAGCGGTATCTCTCGGTGAGCGTTTTTGTGTGTGCGCCTCTATCTTCCCCCGCGTCCTTTGAGGTAAGGTAAGGTAAGGTAAGGTAAACTTCTCCACACACACGAGGTGGTGGGGCAAGGGGGGGCAACCCTCGCGTCTCCACGTCTGACGACAGGAGCCCCACGGCATTCAAAGTGCAAGGCCCAGTGCGCGTGGGTGAGCGGTGTGTGTGTGTGTGTGTGTGTGTGTGTGTGTGTGTGTGTGTGTGTGTGTGTGTGTGTGTGTGTGTGTGTGTGTGTGTGTGTGTGTGTGTGTGTGTGTGTGTGTGTGTGTGTGTGTGTGTGTGTGTGTGTGTGTGTGTGTGTGTGTGTCACGTCACTGCATCCTCCGCCGGTTCCTCCCGTCGCCTCTTCTTTGTTCGAACCTTTGAGGTTGTATGAGCGGTCGAGCGGCTGTGCGGTGTGCTCTGTGATCTCGCCCCGGCCTCGCTATCTGTCGCCCCGCTGTCCCGAGTGCGAGTCCACTTTTCTTCCACTTTTCGTCATGCTCGTTTGAAATATTTTAATGACATTGGCTAGTTCCAATTCACTCTGACACGCTAATCTTGAAAACGCGTCCAACGGAGCTCCGTGTTGCTCCCAGCGGAATCCCCCGCGCTTCCTGCGGCCATGGCCGATGATACTAGTATGAGAGGTCATCTGGCTACCGCGAGCGCGACTCAACTCGCCGACGTCGTCCGATGATTGTGCCTCAAAGTCAGCCTCCGGAGGCTATCGTGGGGTCGAGCCGGCGGTAGCCGTGACATGTGGTTCCACCACCCCTCGCAGGCTTTGCCTCTGACCGCCACCGTTCCCAGGCTGCCTAATGGGGTGGAAAGGAAGGCTGGGCGAGCGTATAGAAGCGTGCTCGACCTCGTCGTGGCAACCTGTACGGCAGCGCTGGTAGGCGCGATGAGCGTCGTGCCACCTGACCCAAGACGGGTCGCAGGCGTCGTACCGAGCGTGTCGGGACCGTGTCCTGATGTGATCTGCACGGGTGAGTCACGTCGGCGTCAAAGGAGCGACGTGTGACCTGTCAGAGCTTGATCTCCGATCTCAGCGGCGTCGAGTCGTCTCCGGCGGCGACAATTTGGTACATCTCCAGGACGCGCAGAGCAGCTGCGACCCCGCCGAGTGGACGGGGGCACTCCGCGCCACCTGCCGAGTGCCCCCGTCCACTCGGCGGGGTCGCAGCTGCCTCTGGAAGGCACCGAGATGTACCATTCTGCGCAAATGGTCAAATCAAGGTTTGT